CCATTCTGCAGCCAATCAGCGGTGGGGTAGAGCAGAAGGCGGGAAAAGGGGAGCTGCTCACGGGCACCTGAAGCCTGGCTGGCTCTTGAGGGTCTCCCAGCCAATCTCACACACACACTTCACAGATTGTAAGAGGTTGAGAGAAAAGTGAAAGAGTTTGCAATGAGAGCTACTCACAAGGCTATTCAGGTTAAAGAGGTTCAGTTCCAGTCTCTTCACAGAAAGGGTGGGAGAGGTCAAACTCTGTAGCCCATCAGCACTGGAGTTAGGTTGGATGATGCGGATCTCAGCTTTAGAGGCCTGAAGCCTCAGTTCGCAGACCAATCAGACTCAAGGCCCTGCCGCGCCACAGCGCCAGGGTAGGCACGAGCTCCACAGCCAATCAGGGGCGGGCACAAGGCAGGCGTGAGGTAGTGGAGCTGTTGTAGGTGTCGCCCAGGCTGCAAGTCACATTCAACAGGCGGGAGCCGGAAAGAGGGTGCAGCCAGCGCTGCAGCCAATCAACATCTGCCTTGAGATCCAGGCGTGAAAAGCGAGCTGTGCACGCGACTGAGCCTCGCGTTCCTGGCCTAGCGCGGCTCCCCATTCTCTAACGGCCACTCAGGCTTGCGCTGCCCTGAGTGTATGTGAGGCTGAGTGGGGAGAGGAAGAGGGTCAGAGTTGGTGAGTGCCATGGATTTTCTTACTCTCCTTCTTCGGACTTGGGCCTGGTCAAGGCAAAGCTGGAATATGGAGGTTTGAGTGGTCGCCGTGAGGGTCGGGAAGTGAGGGGCTGAAAGCATTAGGCCCTGGGAACTCCCTCTGCCCTGTATAGGCTGGAAATAGGGCCTCCTGGGCACCTTTGGGCCCAGGCTGGGCAGAGGCCAGACCAGTATGCTCTGTGGGCTAGTCTACAGTCCCTGAGGCCAGCCTGATTTGGAAGTGTGCTGTAGGGCAGTTGGAGGCCCTCAGAGCCCTGTGTGGGGTCACAGAGCATGAGGTATGGCCTCTGAACTGTGAGAAGTAGTCTGGGGTCTCTGGGCTGAGTCTGGATCTAGTGGCTGGAAGGAGAGGACTGTGACTTTCCAGAGGTTAATGGGAGTTGCCGGCCAAGAGATGAAACTAGTGTGCACTTGAGAGGTTTCTGGGGCCTTTGGATCCAGCGTGGGCTGAGAGTGAGCACTGATGAGGTCAAAAGCCCAATGGGAAGTTGTCAAGAGTCACTGCATCCAGGCTGTGCTGGGAACATGTGTCTGCAAGGCTTTGAGGGATCTTCGGACTCTGGGTCGAGGTACTCTTAGCAGATTTTCCAGTATTGGTCTAGGTTGCACAACATGGCCAGGAGGTTAGGCTTGTTTTTGGAGGTTCTGGGGAGGGGGATATTCAAACTCTAGCCAAGTTGTTTGCCTTCTATGAAGTATCATTGCTTTGTGGTGGCTCTAGACAGAATCAGGACTAGGTCATATTTGGGCTTTTCAGCCCCTGTCTCCACCTCTTCCCCAAACTCTTTCTGGTCACTCCTAGAAGATATCGGGCTATAAGCGTGCGGCAGGTGCATGTGGAAGATGGATGTTTTACTGGAGTACAGGAAGAGGTGTGTTAGATATCCTGCTCTTTAGGAAATCACCCAGGTTGTCTTTACTGAAGATCTTTTTATACTTATGAGGTAGGATGTTATTTATATTCACTCAGCTTTTCTAGTTCTACATGGTATAAAAGCTTTCAGGGTGCTTTCATGCATACCCAGAGTTCTTAAACCAAGGTTAGGAAATGCAAGGGGGTGGTCTATGAATGGATTTCAAAAGCCTGTGAACTCTTGGAAATGATAAGAAAAACTATGCATGTTGGATTTTTTAAGGAGATGGGGCAAATGTGGTCACAAAGATAATCGAGAAGCAATATTTAACCTGTCTAGGGATGGGTTTCAGAGCAGTCTGCGAACCCGTCATTCATATGTAAACTGGAATGAGAGTCTACAATTTTCCGATGTAAAGAGTTGACTCTATGGCTTACATTTTCAAAGGGATGGCGACCCCCTAAAAGATTAAGAACTATTGAAATAAAGCAGGCTCCCACATTACTAGAAATGAAGATTTCCCTTTTTCTTCCCACACCTGGCATTGGCACACACTTCAAAGGATCTCACATACAACGCTACATATCCAAGCTCAGTCTACATTATCCTTACACACAGTCAGGGCCTAGGATGTTACATTAGTTCCACAGTTCACTCTCAGGACCATAGACCTAGGGTTGAGGCCCATGTAGGCCCTGGAAGTGGGCTATTTGGGACAGGGAGTCCAGAGCATGGTCCAGAATTGAGGGGCACAGGTTCCAGGTGGGTACTTCCTAGATGCCCTTGGGTTAACCACCTCGATTTATGTACAGAGATGTGTTCCTGGGAAGAGTGAAAAGTTCATAGAATTTTTCTAAATCTAATCTTGTTTAACTTAGCTTTGGAGGTAGTCAATATTAAAATAAGATAAAGGGATTTGTTTTCATAAAACAAGTAACTATTCCTCCAATTGGCTTATTCTGATGATATAATTTTAATTATAATGTTTAAAGAGAATCCATACTTGTATTGCTGTTGATATTTTTATAACAAGCTGGATTGTGCCTGAAGGAGCTCATTGTCAAGCTTATCAGTAAGAATAAAAAATACCGTATTTCAAAGTTTATTTAGTAATATGAGTATTATAAAGGACTGAAAGGCAAAAATCATACCTCCTTTTCCCACATATTTCTCTTCCCACCTAATCTCTCCTACCCACTCTACCCTCTCCCAGGGTGTAGGCTCGTATCCTCATAACTTGTGGTTTCCTGGCTCCACCCTACCAAGTCAGCTTGGGAAGTAGAAGGTGGACAAAGTTTCTGAGACTGGGAAGGGTAGACCTTTCAAGAATAGAAACAGCACTGTCCCTGTCATTCCAAGTCAAAGTGCTATTTGCTTCTGTCACTGCTCACTCAGTACAAGATGACTTGGGCTGTGCAGTCAAGAATGGAGGAGAAGTTCTAGAAGGGCCTAGAGTGTCAACAGCCTAAGGGCTGAGGTGTAGGGGACCCTAGAAATACCTCTAAGTGGTGATCTCTAAAGTGATATCCTTAGATGGAGTAGACACTAAGTGGGAGGCAAGATGGGGGCTATTGGTGACTGATTGGGGAGTCCCCTTGCCCCTTCTGTTCTCTTTCTATATTTCCTAAAAGCTCATGGACACTCCCTGTCAACTATCTTTGGCTTATAGAAGATGGTGCCCTTTGGGCATAGTCTCCAATCTCTCTTGATCATCAATGAGCAAACCACGCCAGTGGGGGCGCTGAGTCATAAAAACATGATATAGGGAGGTGAGGGGGACCACACTCCACTGGGTGGTGATGTAATCTTCCAGACTCCCTCATGGCTTTCCTAACTTATTCTATATCTTCAGGGATTGTGTATTTCTGTGTTGGAGGATGTTTTCCTCTGCATACGCATCAGGGATTGGTGCTTTTAGGTGTCCAGGCCAAGTGTCTTTTATATAGGTCTCTAATGAGTCTCTGGGTGTGGTGGTGTGAGGAGTTAGAAAGCTCAGAAATGGAAAACATTTAATGTTCAGAGTAGCAAATGAATACAGCTTGCCCATTTGCATTTTCCCTTTCATTCTGACTCATCTTCCCCTCTCCCCAACCTATTATTGCCCCTTCGCCAGCTCCACCCATTGGCACACCCTGTCTGATCTAGGAAGGGTTAACACCTGCCTGCACCCAAACTAGAATGAGGTGAAAGGAGGGCATGATAGGTCTGAAGAGAGAGAATAGAAGGCTAATCTGAACATTTTGGGATCCTGGAGCCAAGGGGAGAAATAGGAGTTTAGACACATAGTATCTGAGTCTAAGAGGGGGCCAAGATCTAAGGGAGAAGCCTAGCGGGAATGACTGTGTTTTGTCACCCAAGTAGCCTACCAGTGCCTGACTTGCTTATCTTCCAATTATTTATTGAGCATATAAGATATGCCAGGCACATATCATGATTTATCACTCACTGAACGAATGAAAATTTACCACAGGATGAGGGATAATGGAATAACAACAACGACAACAAAACAGAAAAAGAAATTTGAATTTCTCAGACCTCATCCTTTTCCCAGGTTAGAGTGCTAAAAGTGTGACAAGAGGGGAAATCTCTGAGGACCTTGACCCTTTGGGCAGGAAGTGAATGAAACCCCGGAGTCCTGATTTCAGAGAAATGCCATGTGTCATCAACCCAAGAAAAGGAGTTTTTCTCTTCGAAGACCACCGCAGGCCCTTCCTGGGGTTGCCCCCTTCAGAGTTTGATAGGAGGATCTGAGTCATTCATACACCCAGTCCCCAGTAGTGGCCCAGATGACAGTGGTCATTCTCACAAAGCAGTCAAGGCTTCCTGGTACCAAGTCAGACATGCTCCTGGCTCTCTTTCATTCTCTCCTTGAAATCCAGATGTTTCAGTCATTTTTACTTCTAAAATAGTAGAAACAGATTCCAGCTGCTAGAGGTCTACTGACACCTCTAAGAAACAGACCTAATACTATTCAAATGTCAATATTAAAAATATTAATATTCAAATATCGTTCAATTATTATTCTAATGTTAGCGGCTATGTACTGACAAGCCACTTTCACATTCATCATTTCACTTAATCTTCACCCCTACCTCCAAATGAGATAAGCAGAGGTTAACCCTATCATGGATGAGGTAATTGAGGCTCAGAGTGATGACTTGCCCAAGGTGACTCAACTAGTAAATGGCAGAGATGAGACTCAAAGGCAGGTTTGCTTAGTTCAAAGTTCTTGTTGCCTCAGATACATTTCTTTGACTCTAGAAGTTCAAATGAAATAATGAGACAGGTTAGGAGGCAAATGCTTGGCTTCTGGAATTAGAGGGAGTGGTCTCTTCTGGAGGGGATGAAGCAGAGCCAGGGGTATAAAATCACTCCTCGTTGGGGGACACTGGCAGACTGATACTTGGACACCCAATGGAAGACTGTGAGGTCAGGGGCGGGGCTAGCTGGGGTGGGGGCAGGCGGGAGCCCAAACAGCAGTTCAGAACATGCGGTGTCCAGGAGGAAGCTAGAACTGGTGAGTGGTTTCTTCTCTCTAGCTGAGACTTTCTTCCTACTATACCCCTCTTTCTGTCCAACCTGTAGCCCCCTCCTTGAGGTGTCCAAGTAGTAATCCTCCATCCCACAAGGGTCCTTACAGTGAGCCCATACCTAGGAACATGCCTGTTCCGCACTGAGACACTTGCGTCTGTCTCTTTGTCTGGGTTCCCAGTTCTTTTTAAAAGACAATGTGGTGGTTTTGACGTGTGATAAACTTCTGCATTGTTGGGTTGTCTTTCTATTCTTCACTTCTGGCTTATGAAAAACAAAATTAAACTATCTCCTTATCTTAACCTTGAAAAGAAATAGCCTCTCCCTTTACAGTTCTCATTTCCCTTTCTCTCACTTCCTCAGGGGTCAGTCTTCTCCAAAACCTCTCCATCCTTGGGTCGAGAGGCTTCTCTCCCTTGTGGCTTCTGCATCTGCTCTCTTAACTCACTAGATGAGTGTCTTTGGTCTCTCCCAGCTCCTTCTCTTAAGATGTGTTCTAGAAGCTTCAGCCTCAAGGAGCCTCCTGCAGCTATGATCCCTCTCTTGCTGCCCTTTCTGCCTCCCAGTACCCTCAGCTCCACATGATGGGCTTGCGTGGGGAAGACGCGCTAGCTCTCTAAACTCTCCCATGAAGCCGTGTCTTGCTCTATCCCTAACTGGCAGGACTGCCTGGGTCTAATGGTGATCTCTTTGTCTGGAATGAGAAGAGCCTGGCCTACTCAGAGGTCTTTCTCTGCAGAGGGGATCAGAGAAGCAGAAGCATCAGTGTCTGCTCTCTTGTAAGAGATTGCCAATTGGCAGAATCCATGTATATTAGTCTTACACCCACTATTTGATATAGTTAACTGCCAGGTCCTTGCTCTTTAAGTCCTGAATTTGGTCTAATTTCCATTCTCTTGCCACCCCATCCCCACCCCTGGCCCATTATGATCTGGGATAAGCTCAGGTCCTTTCTTGGGTTAGTTTATTAGCTCCATTCAGGACAGAAAGCTCTGATCCAGAACGAACAACTCACTCTTTCTCCCCTCACCTCCACAGGCTTGAGAATATGCTGTTCCTCTCTCCTCTTTCCACCATGGATCTCACACTATGGCCTTTCTCTCAGAACCTCTGAGACTGGTACCCAAGCAAGGCACAATGCCTTTGTCCCCAATAAGACTGCCTAGCCCCTATGGCTCTGATCGACTGGTACGGCTAGCAGCCAGGCTCTGGCCAGCATTATGTGATACCCTGATCACTGTGGGGAGCCAAGAGTTTCCTGCTCACAGCTTGGTGCTGGCAGGTGTGAGCCAGCAGCTGGGCCGCAGGGGCCACTGGGCTCTAGTGAAAGGAATCAGCCCTTCCACTTTCGCACAGCTTCTGTACTTTGTTTATGGGGAGAGTATAGAGCTGCAACTTGGAGAACTGGGGCCCCTTGAGGAGGCTGCCAGGGCCTTGGGGGTGCAGTCCTTAGAAGAGGCATGCAGGAAGGCTCGGAGAGATGGGACCAGAATAGAGCTGAATCCCGGGCTGAAAGAACATCAGGAAGAGTCAGAGAAACCCACAAAGAAGTCTAAGAAAAGAGTGGGGGGCCTTGGAGAACAGAAACCAGAGAAGTTTGTTAGAGCTGGTGAGAGAGAACAGGAGACGGTGCATGAGCACAAGCCACCAAGACAGAGCCCTGAGACGGCAGAGGCAAAGCAGGAGGGCCAGGGGGAGCAGATGAGATCAGAAGAGAAACTCAACCAATGCCCTGTTGGCCATGCAACAGTAGATGGGAAGCAAGAAGTGATCATGTGGGTGAAAGATAGTCCAGGGGGCTCTGAGGAAAGTCTGGGGAAGTTCCCTGGCCCCCTTCCCCCACCAGGTACCCTTGAAACCAACATCACCTCTAGGCCTTGGTGGGCTGAGGCCCCTTGGTTGGGGGAGGGACAGCCTTCCCTGTGGAGCATCCTGCTGTTGCCGCCTAGATATGGCACTCCCTTCTCCCATAGCACCCCTATCACTGCAGCCTGGCAAGAGGTCTGGCCTCGGGACCAGAGGTGAGTGAAGGGCCTAACGGACCCCTGGCTGGGAGGGAGTGGTTCAGGAGAGGCTGTGGTGATGGGTGGAAGGGCATCACATCTCTTATCCGTACTGTACATTTCCTGAGCTGGAGATGGGACAAGAAGCTCCCACCACAAGGGAAGCCAAAGCTCGGCCCCTGAGAACTCATGACACCTCCCTCTCCAGGAA